TGATCTCTGCGTTCGTTCTTTAGTCGTTTACTTGTGCTTGCACTGCTTGCTGGTTCACAGGAAATATGGCAAGAGTTTCACTAGCAAAAGTTCACAACAATGATTCAGGAATGATTGCATCAACATTGGCAACACAGACTACATCAGACCTAGCAAGGCTGCTGGTCGACTGCCTGCGCAGCACGGTCGACCGCGTGCCAGCACGACTTGGTCGAACGCGCTCCAGCAGAGCAGAGTCGCGGCTTGCCAACGTTGCAAGTCCGCGGTGTGCCAACGCTGCAGCAAGTCGGCTGCACAGCGTTGCACTCGCCTGACAATGGTGCACCAGCTTCGCAGGTGCGTGCAGCTGGTTGGCGCCCAACGCCCCGTCACATGCCCAGCGCAGTTACTCCACCCGTGACGGCGCCCACCAGCCACGTCGACCTCAGGATACCACCCCCGAGGTCGTCCTCGCAGAAATCACCCCTAGCGACTTTCGCACACGTCGCCCGGGTATCCTGGTCGACCGGGTATTCCGCGGCCCCCGTGGCCCCCGGTTGTCCATTCGCGGCCTCTGCGGTCCCCGCAGTCGCGTGGTCCCGTGGCTGTCTCCTGCGGCCTTCCGCGGCCCCCGCGGTCCCGTGGTTGCCCCACGGCCTCCCGCGGCCCCGCGGTCTCCCGCAGCCTCCCGCGGCCTCGCGCGGTCTCCCGCGGTCCCAGCGGTCCTTCCGCGGTCCCGCGGTCCCCGCGGTCCTCCCGCAGTCCCGCGGCCCTCCCGCGGTCCCCCGCAGCCCCCGCGGCCGGCTCCGCTCAAGCGAGGACGGGCCAAACACACTCCCGTTGACAGAAATATGGTAACTTGTAAGCCCACCCAGCCAGCTCACATGTTTTTCTATAAGCCCACTTAGGCTAAAAACTGGGGGATGAGGGTACCAGTAAAAGGAGTAAAAAAAATTACACACACTTGTGAAGACGCAAATGGTCCAACGCCAATGTGCTGTATACTGTATTCTCCCGGACGTAACACCCTCGGGAAATACTTGGGAAAAACGGGGGGGGGGGGGGGGGGGGGGGGGGGGGGGTTCTCCTCATAGGAAAAAGCTACATTATACCCGGGTCTAATTGTAAAGCACCTTCTTTTTTTAAGCAGGAATGAATGGAAACAAAACCAAGGGTCTGGCCTCACTCTTAGATTGTTGAACAGGGCTACAAAACCGAGTCTACGAGGATAACGTCACCGTCCACTAGAATCTGCCACATGGCAAATTCCAGTGGGCCAACTGTGGCACCTGATTGGATGAAAGCAGTGCCAACCTCGCGCAGCGAGGGTTCATGCACACTACGTGGGCGGAATCGCGCACGTTGCAGCGTTGTCACTGTACATGTGACCTCTTGAATACCGTTTGGTCACGTCTAGGGTTCCTCACATGGGGCTCATCTTCCCTTCGTGAGGCGGTTCCAGTGCACGTTACTGACAAGTGCTCGGCAGGATGTCAGAGTGGCTCCTTCCTATGCTCGAGTTTTTTAGTTTAATGGCATTTGTGCCATGGCGAGTGACACCATCCTGCTGTAGTTCACAAGCATGGCTTCTCCAGATTCTAGCAGTGTAGTAGTTAGGCGGCCGCGACCTGTTACCATTCAGTCTAGCGTTGCTGCACGCGCACGGACGTCTCCTCGCCCTATCTTGCCCCAGCCGGATGCTCTAGGTAGTGCTTCTGACAAGGATGAACCGAGCAGTAGCTTATACCGTCCTCGCCCTCCCCTTCCTCGAGTAGTTGTTCCCACGTTCCCGGAGCGTAACCGCTTGCAGGGACAGACGAAGCGCATTGCCGATGCTGACGCGGCATCCCCTCGCCACAGCATGACGAAACATCAGCGTCATGCAATCACCGCAAAGGAGAAGCTCCACTGGTTGAAGATGCATGACTCTCAGCCCGACTTGTCGAATCGCGCCCTGGCGAAGCTCGCGAAGGTGCAGCCCTGCCAGATCCGCGGGTGGAAGAAGATAAGGGAGTGGCTGGAGGTCGCTTCCAGCTGCCGCCGTCGCCTCATGGGAGCTGGCCGCAAGTCCAAGTACCCGTTTATGGAACGGGCAGTCTACCGTCAGTTCCTTAAACAACGGGGGAGGGGCCTCGCCGTTTCGGTCAGCATGCTCCAGAAGTGGAGCGCCAAGTACATGAAGCACCGGATGCCCGGGGTCAACTGGCGCGCTTCGTTCCGCTGGGCAATTCGTTTTCGCGCTCGCTGGCATTTGGCGAGGCAGGTGAAGACGAAGATGGGACAGAAGTTGGCAGCGGATAAGTGTAGCGTTATCATGCTCTCGTTTGCCACTACATTGTTGAGCTAATTATTTTCGAGGCTCTGTTTGCAGATTTCAAGGCCACGGCCGAGTCGTTTTGGGAGTTTGTGCGCCACATGCTCTCTCTGCACGACTATCCGCTTGACCTCATCTTGAACGCGGACCAGACTCCGCTTTTTCTATTGATGCCAGCGGAGCGCACGCTCTAAATGAAGGGAGCGCGGACGGCTCATGTGCAGAGTGCGGGCTACGAGAAGGAGCGTGGTACTGTCATGCTAGCAGTATTGGCGGGCGGGCTCAAACTTCATTCGAATGTGATGTTCAAGCGCAAGACCGTCCCAAAAGTGCCCACCCCTTTCGGTAAGTGAACCATGTTTACGATGTTAGTCTGTGCTCTTGCCTGTCACACGTCGCAACTGAACCTGACCCTCTCGTATTGTTTTGCAGGCGTGGTGGTCCATGCACAAGAGAAGGGGTGGATGGACGAAGCATTGGTGCAGGACTGGATCACCCAGGTGATGGTGCCATTTCTGAAGCCCCAACGTGAAACAACCGGACGCCGCAGGGAGGGCTTGGCTGTTCTCGACTCCTACCGCGGCCACTTGACCGAGGCGGTCGGGCAGACCATGTGCATGTTTAGGCTGTCAGAATGTTATAATTGTCAAGTCTGCAGTGGGGTACTCTATAGTAAGTACAACCCAAAATTGGGTTTGCTATATGTACTGCCCTGCTTACTAGTGAAGCCCTCCTTTTCTGTTCTATCGTTCTACTGCTGTTTCTGACATGTGATCAGAGCAGGTCGACCCCCCTGGGTCGATCCTATGGATGGGCCCACCGTTTGCTTCCGCTGCCACTACTGTTCTGTCTGTCTCGCGCCCCGTGGCGCGCGACGATTTTTTTTCTTCTCGCCACGCGTCCCGAGCGCGTGGCGGTTTTCTGCCCGCCGCACGCTCGGGGCGCGTGGCAGTTTTCCGCTCCGTCGCGCCCCCCGGGGGCCCGCGCGCCACCCCCTCCCGTCGCCCGTCGTGGCGCCCTCGGGGGCCCGCGCGCCACCCCCTCCAGTCGCCCCGTCGCGGCGCCCAAGGGGCTCGCGCGCGGGCCCCTCCTGTCGCCCGTCGTGGCGCCTCGGGGGCCTGTGCGCCTTCCCCTCCCGTCGCCCCGTCGCGGCGCCCTGGGGGCTTGCGCGTGGCCCCCTCCCGTCGCCCGTCGTGGCGCCTCGGGGGCCCGCGCGCCTTCCCCTCCAGTCGCCCCGTCGCAGCGCCCTGGGCGCCCGCGCGCGGCCCCTTTCCCGTCGCCCGTCGCGGAGCTCTGGGGGCCCGCGCGCGGCCCCTTTCCGTCGCCCGTCGTGGCGACCCGGGGGCCCGCGCGTCGGCCCCTCCCGTCGCCCGTCGTGGTGCCCCGAGGGATCCGCGCACCGCCCCTCCTCGCCACCCGCCTGCCCTCCCCCCCCCCCCTCCCCCCCCCCCCCCCTCCTCCTCCTTCGACTTCGAGACGGCGTGCAGCCGTGTGGAGGGTCTGGGGGTGGCAGAGCTTAGGGCGGGTATGGGGCTGGCGGGTGTGTGCGCCGTCCGCTCCTCCTCCTCCTCCGTCTCCCACTGCTGCAGCTGCCGCTGAGGGGGGTGGATGTGTGGGAGCCGAGGGCGTGGCGCTAGGGGGGTGCCGTGGGAGTGGAGCTAGGGGTGCCGCAGGGGGTATGTGAAAGGGGTGTGGGACAGTTGGAGGAGGTTGCGTGGAGGCAGCCGTCGTGTCGCCAGCAGCGCCAGTAGTCCGGAGCCCTCGTGCTCTCGGTAGCCCAGCGAGCCTGCTGAGCCAGTCGCCCGTGGGTCCGTTGCTCTTGCCGCTCCTCGTAGGCGCCGAGCCTGTTACTCCAGTAGTCCGTGGCGCTGTCCCGGTAGCCACTGTGCCAGCCGCTCCTGACGCCCGTGTCTCTGCAGCTTCAGCCGTCGTCTCCCATCTCATCTCCTCTCACAGTCCCTCCTCCTCCTCACTTGCCCTCCGTGATTGCCTCTAGCTTTGCTTGTGCTTGTGCACTTATTCTGTGACTGCTCATTGTGCTGACTATACCCCACTTTGCCTATGGGGGTGTGTCAAAATGTTATGATTGTCTAGTCTGCGGTGGGGTACTCTATAGTGAGTACAACCCAAATTAGGGTTTGCTATATGTACTGCCCTACTTACTAGTGAAGCCCTCCTTTTCTGTTCTATCGTTCTACTGCTGTTTCTGACATAGGATGTCAAGGGCTGTCATCCCAGGGGGCTGCACACCGCTAGTGCAGACTCTGGATGTGTCGGTGAACTGCGCGTTCAAGTGCGGTGTACGTCATCGCTATAGTGTTTGGTTCGAAGAAGAGGGAATCAACCTCACCACTAAGGCAGCTGAGTTGAAGCCATGAGATCCGCTTGCGTAACTTTGTAACTGTGTCAGCGTACGCTCTGCAAGTTCACATTCGTGATTGTCTACCCTTCACCGTCCCTTAGGCAATCTCAAGAAGCCGCCCGTGGAGGTGGTGCTCCGCTGGATCGACGAGTCCTACGAAGCAATCCCAGAGGAGCTCGTGAAGAAGGCCTTCGTCACTTGTGGATCTCCACCAGCATCGACGACAGCAAAGGCCACCTCATCCTTGCCCACATGCGGGACAAGGGTGAGGTGGAGGTCCTTGACATCGTCAACGACCTGGTTGACGACGAGCTTGTCGTCAACCCCTTCTACGCCGAAGTCCCCATGCCGGCCGAGGAGCTGCAGGCGGCACAGGAGGATGACGCCGCAAAGGAGGACGCGGAGGCGGCGGCGGCAGAGGAGGAGGGGGTCGAGCTTGAAGAAGGTAGGGAGGCAGAAGTGTGCAGCGATGACGAGTGCTGGCGCCCCGGCCGCTATGACGGGGAGGAGTGTGAAGAATGGGTCGCAGGGATGATTCAGAGTAGAAAGTACCTTCATAGTAGGAAGTCGCCAGAACGTTGTGGTGGTTTCTGCAGTTTAGTAGATGAAATGAAACTGTTAAAGCCCGGGGTCAGCATGGTAAATTATCAAGTTATGTGTATTTGAAATAGGCTGTATGCGAGATCTGCGAAGCCTATTTCGGTTGGCTACCCTTGGCGAGAACTATTTTCCGCCGCAAACAAGTGAACATTTCACACTCACCAATCCTGCGAATCCCACCAACCCAAAGCGACAAATGTGTCGCACACATCCTCTCTCACACATCCTCTCTTGCATCGAGCATGGAAAGTGTTGCTCACCCGAAGTCACCTCACCACTGAATCAGCTCGATGCTAACGGGAAATAGAAAAACTGAGCAAGCAAAGCCACATGCAGGTTATCAACGCCACCTACTCAACGCCACAACAGAAACGTGTTCGAGACGATCCTTACCCCAGATTACTTGGGTAACGACCATCGCAGGAGCTGGCAACAGCAAAGTGTAGGAACGTGCAAGCGCGATTGCACTAACGGGAAGAAGGTCGTGATGACAGACTGGAGACTACGGGTAGCTAGGCACAACAAGAAACGACGAGTGTATTGGAGTCGTTGTGACTAGCCAGGGGGAAGAAAGCGGACTAGATTCGGCTCGCGCACCAAGCGCCGAGCAGCACTCGCTCGCCACATTTAGCTGCTCGCGTTCTGTGCGACGCGGAGCCCGCATTCCTCGCGACGCGGAGCCCGCATTCCTCGCGACGCGGATCTCGCATTTCAGGCGGATCTGATCCCGCCCTCCAGTCGACGCGGAGCCCGCGTTCTAGACGACGCGGGGAAGCAGGGAAGGGGATGGAGGGAAGCAGGGAAGGGGATGGGGGAAAGAAGGGGAGGGGACGAGGGGAAGCAGGAAGGAGGGAGGGGGGAAGCATGGAGGAGGGAGGGGGGAAGCAGGAAGGAGGGAGGGGGGAAGCAGGAAGGAGGGAGGGGGGAAGCAGGGAGGAGGAAGGGGGGAGTGGCAGGTGAGGCAAAGGAGAATAGACTGTGGGGTAAACAGAGCTGTTGGGAGAAAGGGAGGTTGGTCAAAATAAAGAGGGGTGTAAACAAGCCTGGGGAAGTGAGGTCGACGAGGAGAGGGAGTGGGGGAAGTACCCGCTCTCACCCTCTGTCCTTCCCCCTCTGTGCCCCTCCCCCTCTTATCCTCCCCCTCCGTCCTTCCCCTTTTGTCTCCCCCCCTCTGCCCTTCACCATCTGTCACTCCACCTGTGTCCTTCCCCCTCTGTCTCTCCCCCTTTGCCCTCCCCCCTCTGTCTCTCCCCCCCTGTCCCCCCCCCTGTACCTCCCCCCTCTGTCTCTCCCCATCTGTCCTCCCCCCTCTCCCCCTTGTACTTCCCCTTCTGTCCTTCCCCTTCTTTCCTCCCCTCTGTCCCTCCCCCTCTATCCCTCCCCCTCGTTCCCTCCCCTCTGTCCCTCCCCCTCTGTCCCTGCCCCTCTGTCCCTCCCCCACTATCCCTCCCCTCTCGTCCCTGCACTTTCGTCCCTACCCCTCCTTCACTCCCCCTCTTTCCCTTCCCCTCTGTCCCTCCCACTTTGTCTCTCGCCCTCTGACAAGTGGGGGGGATGCTGGTGGTGTGCGGGGGGGAAAGGAGGCGAACAAGTGGGGGGAATGCGCGTGGTGTGAGGGGGGGAAAAGGAGGCGGACAAGTGGGGGGAATGCGCGTGGTGTGAGGGGGGGAAAGGAGGCGGACAAGTGGGGGAAAATGCGCGTAGTGTGTGGGGGGGAAAGGAGGCGGACAAGTGGGGAGAATGCGCGTGGTGTGTGGGGGCCTTCGCTAACGACGGGGAGTGACGACTTGGGTAGACATGGGCGATAAGGGGAGATGCGTGTGGATGGGGGAAACTGAGGCGAGGGCGTTGAGGAGCAACGCAAGAGACGAGGGTAAGTGCGGGAGACTCGAGTAAGCGTTTCACACGCGGGAAAGAGTGCGAGACGCGGGCAGTGATGATGCGGGTAAGCGCGGGTGACCTCGGGTAAGCGCGGGAAACGCGGATAAGCGCGGGTAAGTGGGGATGACACGGGTAAGCGCGGGTGACGAAGGTAAGCGCGGGTGTCGCTGGAGAGCGCGGGAAACGTGGGTAAGCGAGTGAAGCGCGGGTGAGCGTGGGAGACAAGGACAAGCTGGCGTGACGAGGGAAACGCTTGCGACGAGGGAAACATTGCGCGACGAGGGACGCGCGGGCGACGAGGGCATGCGCGAGTGCAGAAGCTCTCGTAACGTGGGGTTGAGGGAATCACTAGGGAAGCACGGGCGATGAGGTGATGCACTCGCCACATACTAAGTGTGGGAGTCTGGACGAGGCGAGGATGACGCCTGAAGGCGGACTGAAGCCAAGTTTTTGTTGGGCGGGCCATGCTATGCTGGCCAATGCATTACGGGCGTTGTATTGGAGGTAACCAGCAGCCTTAGCCGACCCATGACTGTGGTGCACTAGAACGGGTGTCCCGTCGCTGACATGCAAAAATGGTACGGTAATAGCGTGTTTGGCAAGAAGCGGGTGCTCCTCAGCTATTGGCAAGACAGCGGGAGTGACGAGAGCTGGAAGGAAAAAAACGCTTCTACCTAAACTAGCTTTTATCGCCCTGTCGCGCGTTTCTTAGTTACGTGCCTACTCTAGTGGATTAGGAGTACCACTTGGTCGTCAAGTTATGTGAGAGGTGACCACGGCAACATGGTAGGCGATGTTCGGATGTGTTGTGCGACTGGGCACAGAAACCAATCAGAAGTGACCGTCGCACTAAGTTTTCCCTGGGTCGCGAGAGTTCTTTCAAACAAAAGAGGGTAACCCTGTTTTTTACGACTTCAAGTTCAAGAATCTTGAACTTGAAAAATACCATGCTGTACTCGGGCTTTAATGTCTAGTTGCAGACGCAGTACTTTAGTAGAACGTGCAATGTCACCTGTATGAAATGTAAGCAAAAACTAGCATTTTTTCCGCCCCCCCCCCCCCCCCCCCCCCCCCCCCCCCCCCCCCCCCCCCCCCCCCCTCCCCCCGGGGGTCTTGAGGATCAGCCAAAAAGGGGGGTATAGTACAAACGAGGTTGCCCATAGCATCCACCCCGCACAAGCTACCCGGGGGGTGTACAATTTCGGCGGGTGTTATGTCCAGGAGAATAGGGTATACGTTTTCTGACATTATTTTGGCCAATAATGAGCTTGCACCTTGCTTGTCCATCCACCTTCACAGTGCCCCTGACTGTGTCTTTCCAATGTGCTGACTTGCATCGGCTGCTCGCAAGGCGTCCCCAATGACCTTCCCCATGTGGGCAAACATGAGGTGTGAGAGGAAGCGCTGCCGCACCTCCTCCCGCCCCCTCATACCCATCTGACGACGCAGGCTTGGGCGGCGCAAGAGCAGGGCGAGGTGGCGTGCTAGGAGTGGCACTCCCTTGAAGCGCACGGGGTGCAGCAGGCCCGTGACGTTGTGCCTCACTATCTCTGCTGTGCCCCCCACTGCCGTGCCAAGGACCTGAACCGACGAGGCACGCACAAGAAGAGCAGGCAGATTGGCACTCGGAGAGGGGTGGAGAGCGGTTGGCAAAAGCAGGGTTGGAAGTAAGCACACAAGCTTTGAGAGGTAGAGAGAAAGAGAGAGGGAGGGAAAGGTAGTGGCGGAACACTGACCGGCAGTTGGAAGGCCATGGCTTCCACAGTGACACGCCCAAACGTCTCCCCAATGCCCTGCACGCTCACGAGGGAACGGAAAAAGAACCAATTGTGAAACAATATCTTTGGCGCCACAAGGCACGGCCGTCCATAAGAAGACGACCCAGACTTGTGTCATGCTCATGCCACCCTGTGCTGCTTCTTCCTGCAACCATTCTGCATTGCCCCCTAGCAACAGCACTTGTTACCTGTGCGTTCATGACGTAGGCATCAGCGGCAGCATAGAGTGGCGCCACCTTCAGTGTGGCATTCACCCACACGATGCCGCCCGCCTTCACCTGAGCAGCCACGTGGGCATGGCCCATGCGCTCGCGCACGGCCTCCGCCATGCGCACTATGTACTCGCCCTTGTTGCTCTTGCCGTTCATCGCCCCCACCACCACTATCAGCCGCCGCCCGTGCCAGCGCTGCTGTGGCGCGGGGTGGGCATGTGGGAGCGCCAGCGCACGCCGTCGCTGCACATCCGCCACCACCACCGCCTCTCCACGCCCACTGCCCTCCCCCCCCTGCCCCTCCGACCCCACCTCGCCCGCCCTGCCTTGTGCTGTGAGCCCGCCCCCCGCCATGCCCAGCTCGCCCCTGGACGCCCACACCTGCAGGGCGGCCTGCAGCAGCCCCAGCTGCCCCTTGCCCGGGTTCACGGAGCTCAGGCACAGCACCACCATGTCGCTGCGCCGCGCCCCAATGCGCGCCCGCACCCGCCGCCGCATCTGCGCCCTCGCTGCTGCTGACGCCGCCGCCAGATCCGCTGCCCCGTTCCCCTCCCCTTCCCCTCTACCCTCTCCCATGCCCTGCCCTGCTGCTGCAGCCGCTGCTGACGTTGTGAGAGTGGGCAGAGGGAGGGGAGAAGGAGGGAGCAGAGGGGCAAGGCCTGCCATGATGGCGAGTTCCGCGTTGATGGACAGCGGAATCACGTGCTGCTTGTCGGGCAGCTGCAGGCCCTCTGCTGCCGCCCATGCACGCCACGTGGCAGCCTGTGAATGGGAGATGAAGATAAGGGTGCTGACACGTGGCAGCAGGGGCTTGGCCTGGTCGAAGTACTCGCGCCGGTTCTCCATGAGCCACCACACCAGGCGCTGCCCACACGCGTTCACCCCGCCTGCGTGGCCCGCCACGGGCAGAGATGCGTCAGTGGCAGTGCTGCCGTCCGTGCCTGCTGTGCCCTCGCCCCCACTGCCATCGCCACTGCTGCTCTTGCCACTGCTGCCAATGCTGCAAGTTGCCAGGTATGCGCCTGCAGGGGAGGGAAGGAGAGAAGCAAGAGGGAGGGCACGTGGGGTGAGAGCACTGCAGTGAAGTCCAACTGCAGCGAGCGTGCAGGCTGCAGCCCGCACATGCTTGTGCTGCGTGCCGCTCACTGCCTCGCAAGAGTGAAGAGGCATGCAAGCGGGCGGGGCAGGGCTCTCACCGATCCATGAGGCAGCGGTGGCGGAGCTGGCGATCACCACGTGAGCCGCCATGGCGGCGCGCCAGCTGTCACTGCCCTTGCTCTTGAGCACGCTGAGCCCGCGCCTCTGCAGCTCTGGCAGCAGCCCGCCCTTGCGGTTCAGCAGCAGCACGTGCACGCCCACCCCACCCACCACCATGCCTGCCTGCTCCGCTGCCGCCATCTGCCGCTGCTGCAACTGCTGCCGTCGCTGCCGCCGCCGCAGCTTCTGCTGCTCCAAGCGCTGCTGCCGCTGCTGTGCGCGCTGCCCCTTGTGTGCTGTCCCTCCTCGCGCACCCCGCCTACCCCTCCCCCCTGCTCGCTGCGCCCCCTCCTCCACAACCCGCCCCAACAGCCGTCGCACGTTCAAGCGTGCATGGGAGCAAGTGGCATTGCAGCCCTCCCGTGCCACCCGCTCCCTGCCCCCCTCACCGTCACTACCCAGCAAGCGCCGCCGCTGTGGCACAAGCGTGGGCGCCTTGCGTGGGAGAAGGCGGGCGCGAGGGGCGGGGGCGGGGCGGGTGCAGAGCGCCACCTCCTCGGCGAGCTCCATGCCCGCCAGTGGTGCACCCGTGAGCGACGCCTCGTGCAGCACCACCAGCACCGACCGCCCCTCCACCGCTGCCCTGAACTCATCCCCCTGCCGACACTGCCGCACTGCCGCTCGTGGCGATGGCGATGCAGGTGGCGGCGTGCGCATGCCGAAGGCGCTCAAGCCATGCACCACCACGGCCTCGTCCTCAATGCCGTCAAACGGACCCGCCCACCCACCCAACCCCCTCACCGCTGCTGCCTCCCCCTCACTCGCGCCCTCCCCCTCCTCCTTGCTCTCGCCGTCCCTCCCTAGCCCGTCGGCCACATCTCGCTCGCCCCTGCCACCACCGGACTCACCTGCGCCGCCACCTTCCCAGCGCGCCCCCTCGCCCTCCTGGCTGCCCTCCTCCTCGTCCTCCTCCCACCCCGCGTCTCCACCCATGCTCGTGCCGCCATCGCCACCACCGCCCGCTGCACCCACATCCCAACGCCCTTCCCCATCTCGCCCATTGCTGCCCTCTCCCTCTTCTCCCCCATACCCACCACCCGCCCCTTCCCCATCCACCCCTCCACCGCCCCCATCGGAGTCGTTGCGCCTGCCACCGCCCCCCGCGGATACAGGTGAGGCGGAGGCCGCGTGTGAGCGGGCGCGCGCGTCGGGCAGGAGGTGGAGGAGGGGGCGCGCGGGGAGGGCGTCGTCGCCCTGCATGAGGCGCGCGCTGCCCGCCACCACGGCCAGCGCCGCCGCCGTCGCCAGGAACAGCCTCAGCGACAACGGTAACCCTTGCGCGCTCTTCGCCTGTCGCCGACTGCCCTGCAGTTTGTTGCTGCCAGCACCAGCGCTGCTGCGGCCGAACGCGCCTCGGCGTGCTCCTGGGCGCGAGCGACCCGGGCACCAGGCCGCCAGTCCGCTCAGCACCCACCCCCACGTGTCGCTGCCTCGCCGCCGCATCGCCTCCCCTTGCCTCAGCCGCATCCGACGCCGCGATATCGGCGCCGATCCAACCACTCCAGCCGCCCCCCCGCCTTCCCGCAGGTTCACCGACTCGCCCCCATCATCCGCCACCAGCCCGCTGCCCGTCCCTCTAACCCCCCTACCGCCGCTCGCCCCGCTCGCCCCACTGGCGGACTGCACGGCTGCGCCGCCTCCCATGGCGTCTCTATCGCCGCCGCTGCCGGCGGCGTGGCGCGTGGGGCGGGAGCTGGGAGCAGAGGCGCGCGAGACAGACGTGAGCACGCGATGATCGGCCGTGGCTTTTCCCGCACACGGCTGGCCTTCGTCGTCTACCTTCGCCTTACCCATCCATGCACGCGCGTGGCTCGCGCGTGAAGATGCTGGAAGATATTTCCATCAGACATGAAGGATCATGAGGGTTGTAACAGCGGCATGGGGAAGTCATGAACAGGAGGAGTGCGCAGATACGGGTAACGCCGCTGGTTGAGCGGACCGACCATACAAAATAGGCCCAAACGAGGTTGGGCACAGGTTGGGACGCGCTTTGTTTGAAGACCAAGCGAGGTAGCCTCGGTGTCGAGGTGAACGGCGGGGCCTGAATTTTCCGAGTCAGGTCGTACGCGATGCAGTACGAACCCAGTAACAACCGAAGATCATTGCAGCGGTAGTTGCATCTCCGTGAGCGGAATTGTAATGAGATATTGCGACTAGTGCATTTGAGTGGGCATGAAGACAGCACTATCGAAGCAATTGAACAGCATCGCCAAAGACATGAGAAAACGATATACAGCGAAATATAATGGTGACCGTAGTAAAGTGGCTAACGTTCATTAGCAGTAGGGCCCAAAATTATTTTTTGTCTCACCATGTTTAAGGGCATGTTTCTACGCTTTTATCAGGCAAACCTCTTGTCAGCCTTGCCTGGTAAAAAGTAGCGAGGGTTATTGGGTTAGGGAATTTTGAGTGTTGACGCGAGCTTGATAAGACGTTGGCCTGATAAGGGGCCGTAGGAACATGCCTTAATTAGTGTTCTAAGCTCGGCCAACCCTGACTCATAGGGTAAAACATTTCGTATTCTTACAGGTGCAATGGAACAAGATAGCGAGGATTGCACTAGGTGTCAAACGAGTACATGCAAACGGTAACGCGGCACGTGCGAGCTAGCTAGTGCTAGGCTGGAATCGAGGTTCGGGCTAGTCCCGAAGCCTAGGTCGACTCGGCCAGGCTAGCGGTGCATGGTTTAGTAAAATAGTGAGCGCGAAGTTGGCGAAGCCCCGTTAGCAGTAACGGACGAACAACGGCTGCTGCTGTACGCGATATTGAAGAACGTAGTAAGGAATGCGGAATAAAAGTCTTACACGTACACTAATAGAAACAGGGTAATAAAACGCGTAACCTGATTTAGTCAGTGTACTAGGGTCTCAGAATCCCAACCACTAGACCATTGGGATAAAAGGGCTTGTTTAAGTAGTGGGTCAGTGCGCCCATAACCCCCCAGGCAACCGTGCCAGTAACCCTTCCCTAGGATCAATCGGGGATCACCAGTGGACCTCTGACACCCCCCCTCACTGGGATGCCCGAAGTGCACACACCGGGATTCGAACCCGAGACCTTCGCTCTGGATACCATCTCAGAATCCCAACCACTAGACCATTGGGATAAAAGGGCTTGTTTAAGTAGCGGGTCAGTGCGCCCATAACCCCCCAGGCAACCGTGCCTGTAACCCTTCCCTAGGATCAATCGGGGATCACCAGTGGACCTCTGACATAGGGTCCCGTATACGTATCTGTGTTAACATTCCGTGTCTACTTACAGCAAGTCGAGTTGGCTCAGATATTTAGATGTGTGTCTACCAACAGTAATTTTGGCCAGAAATTTCAATAGTGCAGAACTCGTTGGCGCTATTTTGCGCGAATTCCACATATCTTCGCTACGAAAGATCAGGTATCCGTTTTACTGGGTTGAAACACTGACGAAGTTAGGGCATACAAGCGCTAGCTTGGATTTCATAAGGGTAAAAAAAAAAACTAACGTTTTTTTAGGTACGATAAGAAGTCTGGGAGGCTGACTAGGTCGGGGTATACTAAAACAAAAACGGGCGCCAGTCAGGGCAACCAGGGTAAAATACCTTGACATTTTGGGACCTGCTAAGTATGATCTCTCAGAATCCCAGCCACTAACCACTGGGATAAAAGGGCTTGTTAAGTAGCGGGTGAGTGCGCCCATAACCCCCCAGGCCAACGTGCCTGTAACCCTTCCCTAGGATCGATCGAGGATCACCAGTGGACCTCTGACACCCCTCCGCACTGGGAAGCGTGAAGTGCACACACTGGGATTCGAACCTGAGACCTTCGCTCTGGATACCATCTCAGAATCCCAGCCACTAACCACTGGGATAAAAGGGCTTGTTTCAGTAGCGGGTCAGTGCGCCCATAACCCCCCAGACCAACATATCTGTAACCCTTCCCTAGGATCAATCGGGGATCACCAGTGGACCTCTGACATGATCTTGCTCATGGTTGATTGCAGGTAGTGCTTAGGGGAAGCGTAATCCATTGATACCAGGGCCCAAAATTGGTTTAGGCCACCCTAGCTATTCAGGGTTTCAACACCTTGAGGCAGAGCGTAAATGTTTTTGTACACTGACATATATAGGCTAAAAAAAATGTAGCATGACTGAATAAGGATAAAGGGGACATTAGTTCTTTTGTTTTTTTTTTCGTTAAATCGTATGTTCAAACTTTGATGTCGGCGAATGTTTTATGGAAGGTATATGCGCTATTCGATACTAAGGTGAGGATCGAGAAAATTGACTGAGGAAGGAAGAGTCGAGAGTACAAAACCCTAAGGAAATAACCCCCTAGAGTCAACCCCACAAAGCCTAACATACAACCCTAACATATAAATATATGTTTGACACACCCCCATAGGCAAAGTGGGGGAGAACAAGGGGTCACAAGACCAGTCAAGAAAAGCAAAGCAAAGCAAAGCAAGCTCAGGGTGGATCTCAAGGATACCACACAAATTCCGAGCACAAGTTCAAGGCCACAAGGCCAGTTCACATGCAGGAGAGCATATATATATAATAGTGCTAAACAAGCAAGAGCATGTATATATATATGCAACAGTACAAGCAAGGTCAAGAGGTAAGCAAGTGAGGCCCAGTGGGCACAAGACCAAGAAGAGTGCAAAAGCGCTGATGGTCACCAGGCGGAAGTGCCTTGGTAAACACATCAGCAGTGTTGGCCTCAGTGGCCACGTAACGCAGGCGAAGCTGACCACGCTGCTGCAGCTCTCGAGCAAGAAAGTAGCGCAGAGCAATGTGCTTCGTCCTGTGCTCCAGTCTGTGCTCCTCACACGAGGCACTGGCTGCCTTGTTGTCGACGTACAGCACTGGAGGAGAACGAGGCTGCTCTCCAAGGTCAATCAGCAGGTAGGTAAGCCAGCGAAGCTCCTGGGCAGCCATGGCCGTGGCGTACATCTCAGCCTCGCAGCTGGAGCTGAGAATAGAAGAAGAGCGAGTAGAACGCCAAGAGACAGAGCCAGAGCCAAGGCTGAAGGTGTAACCCTGTGACGACCGCTGAGTAGCCTGGTCGTCCGCCCAAGAAGCGTCTGAGTGCCCAGTGAGAACAGGCCTGTCTCGCCCTCCAAGCACTAGCCCCATGTCAGATTTATATGACATAGTTTCTGTAGGCTATAGTGGGGTAGCACATATGGGGTACAGGGTCTCTAGGGTTGTATTTGTACCCAATCTTCCATAGTCATTTCATTCCTGTTTTCCTTGTTTCACATGGTATAGAGCGGGTCCTACCTTAGGACCGTTTTTTAGGGCCCACCGAAGCGCGCCCCGAGGCGCGCCTTTTTTTTTAGCGACCCCTCGGGTCGCCTTTTCCCTCGCGGCCCCGCTGTCCCTCAGACGCGGCCCCGCCACCTCTCCTGATCGCGGCCCCGCCGCCTGTTTGACGCGGCCCCGCCGCCTCCCCTGACGCGGCCCCGCCGCCTCCCCTGACGCGGCTCCGCCGCCTCCCCTGACGCGGCCCCGCCGCCTGTTTGACGCGGCCCCGCCGCCTTCCCTGACGCGGCCCCGCCGCCTCCCCTGACGCGGCTCCGCCGCCTCCCCTGACGCGGCACCGCCGCCTCCCCTGACGCGGCTCCGCCGCCTCCCCTGACGCGGCCCTGCCGCCTCCCCTGACTCGGCTCCGCCGCCTCCCCTGCCGGCCCGCCGCTGCTCCTGCCGGCCCGCCACTGCACCTGCCGGCCCGCCGCTGCACCCAGCGGCCCGCCGCCTCTGACGGCCTCGCCGCTGCACCTGCCGTCCCGCCGCCTCTGACGGCCTCGCCGCTGCACCTGCCGGCCCGCCACTGCACCCTACGGCCCGCCGCCTGCACCTGCCGGCCCGCCACTGCACCTGCCGGCCCGCCGCTGCACCTGCCGGCCCGCCGCTGCACCTGCCGGCCCGCCACTGCACCGGTCAACCCGCCGCTGCACCTGACGGCCCCGCCCCTGGATCTCCCAGCCGAACCGCCCGTGAGCCGAGCCGCCCGACGCCGAGCCGCCCGGGCCCCGAGCCGCCCTGCCGCCGAGCCGCCCGGGAGCCGAGCCGCCCTGCACCCGAGCCGCCCAGCCGCCGAGCCGCCCGGGAGCCGAGCCGCCCGGGAGCCGAGCCGCCCTGCGCCCGAGCCGCCCTGCGCCCGAGCCGCCCAGCACCCGAGCCGCCAGGTCGCTGAGCCGCCTTTCTGCATACCTACTCGACCTGCCCTGCCTGGTGAGCACAGTCCCACTGCCACTGCGAGCTCTTTCCCTGCTGCTTGCACTGCGTCGCTGTCGTCGCCATGGCTACCCCTAGTGTCCTAGCTTTTGACGCTGAGGGTCGCGCCATTGATTTTGAGGTGTGGTTAGACGACCTGCAGCTGTTCTTACAGTGCGACAGGGCTGACGACCTTTCTCTCTTTGATCTCACCTCTGGCGCCTCTCCTGCTCCTGCTGCTGATGCTGATCCCGCTGTCCGCTCTAAGTGGGCCACCCGCGATGCTGCTGCACGTCTTGCTGTGCGTCGCCACCTCCCTACCTCTGAGCGTGCGCACTTTAGTCAGTACAAGAGTGCTCAGACCTTGTACGACGCTGTAGTTGCGCGCTACTCCTCCCCTGCCACTGCTGCACTAAGCCGTCTCATGCTTCCCTACCTCTTTCCTGACCTCTCTGCCTTTCCCACTGTCGCTGACCTCATTACGCACCTCCGCACTAGTGACACTCGCTACCGCGCCGCCCTTCCTGCTGAGTTCTGCGCTAAGAACCCCCCCCCCATGTACATCGCTCTCTACTACGTAGTCGCGCGCCTCCCTGACTCCCTTCGCGTCGTCAGGGACCACTTTCTCGCAGTCTGTCCCACCACCCTCACCGTCGACCTCCTCGAGAAGGCCCTCCTTGCAGCGGAGAAGAGCATAGTCGCTGTAGGTGCTTCTCGTGGTGACCCTCGCACCCCCATCTTTGAGGGGTGCTCTCCTTCCCCCTTGCTGCCCTCTGTTGCCTCTGCTGCTGCTGCCGACCTGCTTGGTCTTGAGTCGGTCGGCGCGGCGTCTGCCCCTAGTGGGAGACGTCGCTCCAGCAAGGGCAAGGGGGGCAAGGGCGCGGGTGGAGCTGGAGGGGGCGGTGGCGGTGGCGGCGGTGGCGGCGGAGGGAGTGGGGGTGGCGGCGGGACTAGTGGCGGGGGTGGTGGTGGTGGTGGTGGCAGCAGCGGCGGAGACGGTGGTGGTGGTGCCAGCGGTGGTGGTGGAGGCAGCGGCGGAGGTGGAGGCGGCGGAGGTGGAGGCGGTGGAGGCGGCAGCGGAGGAGGCAGTGGTGGTGGAGGAGGTGGAGCTGGTCGGGGTGGTACCCAGCAGC